GAAAATCAGATGTTTGCTGGGCAGTCATCTTCTTAGGTTCCTGTGAGACACAACGTCTAAGGATGACTGCCAGATATTCTGAAAATGTTCGAAGAATGTATGTTGTTAATTACCATGTCTAGTGTAGCTGATTCCAAGAGTTTTTGCACCAAATCAATCTGAACATGTTTTCGCTCTGTTCTGACAACAACTAGGACCTGTTGAACAAAAGCATGCAGTTTTGAGCCTATTGACGATGCATGTGAAGCCATCACTGGCACAAAAAGTTGAGGACAAGGCTGACTCTCTAAATCTTTCCTGGCTAAGACTTGCAAACTTTTGGTTGTGTTTACTCAGAATGTTAATAATTTTAAAAATTATTAAAATGGAACAAAAATACTTTCTTTTTAAGAGGCTATTGAGATCACAATCATTCCACAAATATAATAAACTGTATAAGCTGAGTGTATCCAATACACCATGCTTGCCATGAGACTGCTGGAAGCGTGGCCATTTTTATATGACACTTCATGTGTGGAACTAAGAAAGCGTGAGAAAAGCCCTTTTAAAAATCAGCCTTAAAATTTCAATCATTGTGTTGGACAAAATGCTTTTACAAAAAAAAAAAACACACAAAACTGATTTTTTCCCCATCTGCTCTCTATTTTTTTTTTATTGTCCTTGCCCAATGTCACCCACATTACCTAACTCCTGGGCTTGCAGCAGTAGCATCACTTGTAAAAAACCTACTTGTTTTTAAGGGACCTGTTCAGTTGTTCCTTCCTTGGCTCCTCTTGCTTTTGCTCCAGGTAGAACCAATCCCTTTTCTTTGTGCCACCACTATCCCCTGGGGATCATTGGGGCCCATTGAGATTACCCGAAGTTGAGCAGACACCATAGCACAGTGTTGAAGGGAGCTAGATCCCACATGGTTGACTGCCCCTCAATCCTGAGCTCCAGCAGCTTGAAAAATGTATCAACAACATGTGCATGCATGACTCAAATCAACAGGATAGAGAAATGGAGGAAAGGGGATCATGTTGTGATCAGGCCCTGCTGGGGGAAGAGGTACTTTCTCTCTCTTCCTCTCTTTCTCTTTCTTTCTAGTGAACACACTTCTTCTGAAAAAAAAAAAAATTCCTGGGGCCAGCAGATGGTATAGTGGTTACATCACTGGACTCCCACATGGCTGACTATGGTTCAAGTTCCGGATCTGCTGGCTTAAAAATCACACCAGGCATGTGTGCATGCATGCCCAAGACCCCAGGAGGAGAATGGAGGAGGATTGTGGCATGGCCATCCCCCCCCAGCAGGTGATTTCTCATTTTCCCTCTCACTATCTGTCTCTTTCTCTCTCCACACACTCTATGGCAAAAATCTCTAAAAAAATTACCTGAAATATTAATAATTCTTAAAAATACAGATCTCAAACTACAACCCAGCTCTACTGATTCAGAATGCTATTGTGTGGAGCCTAGGAATTTGCATTCTAAAGCAACCCAGTTGTTTAAGACGTGGTCCCAGGATCACTACCATGCCAACCTAGGCTGTTGTTCCTACATATTTTGGTCACACTTAATCATTTGTATGCATTTCTCTAGCTTCCTAATAACAAGCTTTTTGAAGCCATGAAACACATGGCGTTAATATTTCATTCAACATATATTTATTGTATGCCTACTATGCACTAGGTACTCTTCTGAGGCCAGGAACACAGCAATAAACAAAATGGTAGATCTTCTCTCTTGGACTTATATTCTAGAGAGGAATGCCAGACAATAATAAGAAGAAGATTATTAAATACTTTCTTATGAGATAGTAAGAACCATGGAGGAAAAGAAAGCAGGGAATAGAGCCAGCAAGTGGCATGGAGCTTAAGACACTGAATCCCACATGGGTGGCTTTGGGGTTCAAGTCCTAGACCCAGCAGCTTAAAAAAAAAAATCACATCAGGTAGATTTGTGGCATGCCCAAAATCCTTAGAGAGGAGACAGGAGGAGAAGGCATTGCAAAGCGGCCATCACCACAGGAGGTGATTTCACACTCCCTGTATTTCTCTTTTTCTCTCTGGTGAGCACATGTGCCCTATAACAAAAACAAACAAAAAAAACAAACAACAACAACAAAACAAGCAACCAAACAAACAATAAAATAAAGCAGGGAAGGAGGCTGGGAAATTCAGGATTGTGGTGAAGATATGTACAAAGGCCTCACTAAGGATGTAATCACTGAGCAAAGACTGGACAACTGTGAAGAACAAAGCCATCTGCAAAGTCAAATGCAAGGCTCTGGGGCAAAAGGATGCTAAGCACATTCTAGAAACAGAAAAGTGATCAGTGTGACTGGAACACAGAGGAGATAGTCAGTGGAGAGGCTGTGAGATCAGGAATGGGGAGTAAATCTTGTCTGGGTTCATCTGACCCTGTCACATCTTTGGCTTCGTCTCTGATGGGAATGGTGGAATTCTAAAGACTCCACAAATAGTAGATGAATAAAGGAATCATCTTCAATTTGACATATAAAGGCCTCTCATGGCTTAGATCTAGACTAAGAGCAGGACAGGTACTTTTCTTTTTCTTTCTTTTTTTATTTTTGGAGAGGTTTTCGCTATAGGGCGCGTGTGCTCGCCAGAAAGATAGAGAGAGACAGAGAGATAGAAAATGAAAAATCACCCCCCAGGGGGGATGGCCATGCCGCAATCCCTTCTCCTCCATTCTCTTCTTTGGATCTTGGGCATGCATGCACACACGTGAGTTTAAGCCGCCCGGTCCAGGACTTGAACTGTGGTCGACTATATGGGAGTCCAATGACATAGCCATTATGCTAACTGCTGGTCCCAGGACATGTACTTTTAGCATAGATATTTTAACATATATACTTTTTTGCAGGAGGGGATGTGAGGTGTGTGTGTGTGTGTGTGAGTGCACATGTTGATTTTCAGACAGGGTCCCACTGTGTCAAGTTCTTCTTGCCTCAGCTTCCCAAGTAGCTGGGACTAGAGCCACTGAGCCCAACTTTTTAGGGTAGACCGGGAATTGAACCCAGCCCTATCGTGTAGCCTCAGTCTGCCAAGCAGCAGTGTCCAATGCATGTGATCACAACTGGGCCAGAATAAATATTAACAAAGAAGCAGCTCTACTCGTAGGAGCTCAGATTCCAGAGTTGGATGTCTAGATTCTAGTATTTCAGATAGTATTTGTAGTCTTGGCAAATTAGGCCTCTTATTATTATTTTTTTTTATAAGGCATGTGCACTTAGGAGGGAGAGAGAGAGAGAGAGAGAGAAAGTGAGAAAGCACCCCCAGAGGGGAGGGCCACTCGCAATGCCTTTTTCTCCAATCTCCTCTTGGGATTATGGGCACGCACCCAGTGCATGTTTTAAGCTGCTAGGTCCAAGACTTAAATTGTTCAGTCAGCCATGTGGGATCTAGTCACCATCATGTCACCGGCTGACTCTATGCCACCTTTTAAAGCCTCAGTTTCCTAACCCATAAAATGGAGAAAATAATAATGTCTGTTTCATAGTACTCTACTGATTAAACACATTAGCACATGCAAGAAAACTAGGCCGGAGGTGTGTAAGAACCAATAACTGTTAGCTATCATCATCAGTAAGGATATATGTAAGACATTTATGATAACACTTCAAGGAATTAGACATGATATTACATTTCATATGCTTATATAATTCTTATGTACTCATACCTGATTTTTATTTATATATATCTATACATATATATAGAGTTGACAGTAAAGTCATGATGTATTTTTACATAGAATAACATAGAAAAGTACATCATGACTTTCTAACAACCTAATATATTTCTCTATAATTGTATTATAATCATAGTTACATATTATTGTGACGTGTCCTTTTGGGGTGTGCATGTTAAAGGATGAGAATTCATGCAGTTCTGCAAGGGATAAAACACACAGGAAATGGATAAACATGGAGATGATGATGTGCATGAAATGAGATGGGCGCCATTGCTGTTGCTGGATATTCGTGTTCCCTGAGGCTGTTAGTGAGAATATGCTCATTTAAAATGCATAATTAAAATTTGAAGTCCATCCGTAGTTGGACTTCGGCTTGCCTCCTACTAGACCGTTTTAGATGGTATAAGAATGATTTCTCTTGGATTCCCTTCTGTTGCACATGTCTCCTAAAAGCAATCTGAAAAAAAGAATCTATTCATGTAGGTAACCTTCGCACTGGCCTTAGGCAGTGTTGATGCAGCCTTGGAAATTTCTCACTTCACAACTAGAAATTGGTTTCCTACGAGAATCTACTTTACGACTTGTGTGAATCATTTGAATATTGTGTGCAGTTGTTAAATGTTAATTGTTTTTTTATTTGCATGTGGTACAGATGCAACTATTAATTTTTTTAGTCTATATCCATTTCTAACTTTGGTACTCACTTCTAAGAAATGTGTGAATCATGCCCACCTTCCATCAACTTCTTAGTAACTTTTCTAATTAGATCTATGTCTAGCAGTTAATTTTGATGGTGTTAGCAGTCAATGCCTGGCTCCCAATCCTAGGCTGTGGCTCAGTAGTTGTGCACTTTGGGCAAATGACTCAACCCCTCTCGGCCTCAGTTTACTTTACTGTAAGTAGGGATAATACTACCTCCATCTTAATGCTGCTTCGAGGATCAAAGGAGATGCCCACATAAAGGCCTTAGGACAGCACTGGCAGGCACTTAAACAGTATCTGTAGTCACTAGCCTGGCACTTTCTCTTGACAGCATTTGCTTTACAATTTCTTCCATAATTGCTCAACAGCAGCGTGTTTTCTAACTTATTAAATGACTTACTGACCATTGTGTCCAACTTCTGGCCGTCGGAGCATTGTTTAGAGCGCTCTCAGCGCTGTCTACACGCATACTGTTTAATCACTTCTCCCCTTTCGCTGGTTCTGGGCATCCAGAGTCAGCCATCCTAACAGTCAAGGAAAACGATGGCAGCTGCACGCCATCGCCCTGCCCAGCCTGCCTCTCTGACTGTCTTCTCGTTGCAGGATGTTCTGGAAGCTTTCCCTGTCCTTGTGCCTGGTGGCGGTGCTGGTGAAGGTGGCGGAAGCCCGGAAGAACCGGCCGGCGGGCGCCATCCCCTCGCCTTACAAGGACGGCAGCAGCAACAACTCGGAGAGATGGCAGCACCAGATCAAGGAGGTGCTGGCCTCCAGCCAGGAGGCCCTGGTGGTCACCGAGCGCAAGTACCTCAAGAGTGACTGGTGCAAGACGCAGCCGCTGCGGCAGGCTGCGGCAGACCGTGAGCGAGGAGGGCTGCCGCAGCCGCACCATCCTCAACCGCTTCTGCTACGGCCAGTGCAACTCCTTCTACATCCCGCGGCACGTGAAGAAGGAGGAGGAGTCCTTCCAGTCCTGCGCCTTCTGCAAGCCCCAGCGCGTCACTTCCGTCCTCGTGGAGCTCGAATGCCCCGGGCTGGACCCACCCTTCCGACTCAAAAAAATCCAGAAGGTGAAGCAGTGCAGGTGCATGTCGGTGAACCTGAGTGATTCAGACAAGCAGTGAGGGTCCGGGGCAGGACGCAGCTCAGCACTGCACGCCCCGGCCGCTGGGTCGCGCCGCTGCCGCCTCTGTCCCTGTCCTCCGAGCTCACTCACACGCTGCCTGGTGTCCCCCCTCCGCAGCAAGCCCGTCTCTTGGGGCTGACAGTGTCTTTGATACAAACGTGGACCACGAGTGGAGCTTTGCTGACGTGCTCCTGACCGACCGGGGCCCCATCTGTGCCCCCCAAACCAGGTGTGGATCGGGACCGAAGGAAGGTGCTGGAAAACTACTACCCACCACTCAGCAGTCGGAGAGGACCTTTCAGGTGATGCACTGTAAATCCGGCACTGATGTTTCCACCGTGTGGAAGAGAGTATTTCCCTGGCCTCACCCACACTCCGGCTTGCCTCCTTTCAGAGTGAAGTGAAGGATGCGTCCGTCTTTCCAGCAACCCTTCCAGCTCCTGCTGTCCCTGGACTCTGGCAGGGAGCGTCCGTTCTTGTGACTGAACCGTTGTCCTCGGCCACTGCTGTGATGTGGATGTGGCCAATGTTCAAGAAGATGTTCACGGAGGGAGGTCTCCTAACAAACCTGACACCAAGGAGACAACTCGAGCCACTTAGAACCTGAAGTGGGCTTCCCTGGGGACCTCGCTTCAGTTCCAGCCACCGCCACCTCTTCCCCTTCACTCCCCCCAGCCCCGTTTGAGGACTAAAAAAGAACTTTGGTGTGCGTGCTATTATCGCGGCAGTTAGAATATTATCACACACAAGGCCTCTATATTAACGTTGGTTTTGTAATGACCTATATTGTAAGCAGCAGTTAAAAAGTATTATAGATCTATCCATGTATTGTTTCACGTGTTCTGACCCTGGCCTTGCAACGCCGTGCTGAGTAAGGAGGGAAGGCAGATAACAACCTGCCTAAAAGGTGTGGTGCTCGGAAATAATGCTGGGTCAGCAGTTCACTGTCATGCACCTATTTTAGAGCCGGCAGGGGATGGGAGGAGTCCTGATTTTACATTGAATGGTATTTCACTGAAGGTACTGAATCATCGCAGCACAAAGTACAATAGAAATGGCATTAAGCGGGTGGGTGTAGGGAGGGGAAATTCAGGGGACATTGTTAACCAGAAACTCAAAAAGCCTGTGATGTTTAATATGCATGTATGGAGTGGGACGATATGCTATTTTCACTGCCGTAACACTAAGCAAAAATTATTTCCTGTTAAAAGAAAGATATTTAAAATATAAGGAGTTGGGTCACTTGGCGATGGAGGAGGTAATGGATAAAATGTATCAACTCGTCATCTAGTTCACTTACCCGGCAGAAAACAACTGGCTGCTTTTTCAAAGAGTGGACTTGAAAAAGGATGAGCAAGCACATTAGGTCACCTTTCATGTTGGTCAGCAATTGCTGAGCTTCATGTTGTGGTCTCTTACTATAGAAGTTGGCATAATTTATTCTCCTGAAAAAATTACACGTACATTGGATTCTTTGACTAAATTGCTCCAAAAAGTCTTCCCTGTGAGTCGTGTTTATAGAATTAGACAAGTGTGAGTGAGATGCTGTAGGTGGGAATCAGCCTACTTCGAAAACCTTTCCCCGGTAATCTCTGAGCACATGCTCCTGGTAAGGGTTCGGTTCCCTAGCATGTGCGAAAGACTCTGCAAGGTGTTCTGGGGAATGAGGCTTTCCGACACCAGTGACCGTGAGTCTAGACCTACCTAGAGAGCGAGGAGTGTAGTGTGTGTGTCGGGCAGACTGCTTCCTGCCGCTGCACTGCAAATGTCATTGCTGTCATCCTGTAACACCGTGAGATCCGAACAGAGTCCTGCCGTAAAGGGGGTCTCGGCTTCAGAAACGGGTATACACATTCAAAGAAAGAAAAAGGAATTCTTGAGTGTTGTAACTCAAGGATGGAGTTAGCTGTAACTAGGGATGGAGCAAAAATGTGGAGAGGGTGTCCAGAACTGATCATTGCATTTAGCAGAAAAACCTCAAGTCAGACTCCGTGGCAGAACACGCAGCAGAAGCTCTGTGAAGGAAGTCCACGTGATTGCAGTGGAGGCTAAAGGAAGGGAATAGGAGGTGAGTGGAGGAGTCTCCGACTCAATGGCAAAGCCATCCCCTATCATTTTATGAACAGAACCCAGTCAGCGAGGGGCAGGACTAAGCTAAGAACTCACACAGTACAACCACGAGCACAGTTGGAACCCAGCTGCGGGGGTAGCAATGAAAGCAATAAAGTATGCTGCAGCGTGACGCTCCTTCTGGGGATTATTGTATGTACAAAGTTTACCTTATAGGCTCGAAGTGTATTTAATTGTTTTGTTTTGTTTATAAATGAAGAAAAGCTATAAGTATAATGTAATTATTTTATAGGTATACTATTAAATTATAGAACAAATAAAGATACTCTAGGATTATATGTGATTCTGGTGTGATGTACCACGTGAGTAGAGTCCTGCATTTGTTTCAGTGGGCGATGAAGGTGGGCTGTGCATTGAAAGTGCTTTCATCCAGCCATGGTGAGTTCTACCCCCAGCCTGTGTAACGTGACCTCCTTTGAGGGTTGGCATCTTCCAGGAGAATCAGAATCAGGCATCCAAGAAGCAGAGGTGGTGGGGGTGGCTCTCCATTCTGGTCTTAACAGCGCTCCCAAGCCTCTTAGAGATACCCCACCAGCTGAAGACAGAATACTCTCACTTTGCTCCCTGAATCAGAAATATTGAGTGAAGAAGCCTTGAGAAATCGCTGCAAATGGAAGTCGACCATATGCTCATCTTCCCTTGTGCAGCCAGTGTACCGCACTTGCCTCTTCCACAAGCCAGAGCTGTTTCTGAGTGTTGTTCATCTTCACATTTACATCCCAAGGGTTTCCACATTTCTTCTTTAAATACTTCCTAGTGTCACCGTGTCTCTATTTTTCTACAAATTGCTTATCTGCCATTCAATAAATTCAGTTATCAACAAAAAATAAAACCCTTAATGAAATCGCACACGTAGTTGACTTACTGTCTGGATGTTAATGGAATTAAATTCAACTTACTAATAAATAATTCATCGTTGTTTATTAAGTTGAAGAGAACATTTTCTTTGGACTAAGATATTCCAATTCACTTGTTTCTGAAGTTGGCTGATTGATTTTTAAATGATAAAGTCAATGAAAATGAATTATTGCGATTGCATGAATAACTTGGAATGTATATATTCCTAGAAAGCTTATCTAATGATTGACAATTAATGTCTGTGTGAGAGATAACCAGCCATAAAGAATGCAATTAAAATTTGTTGGTCATCAGGTTACCTTTGGAATTCTTAATACCCACTCTTGCCACCCTTTCCACCCAGTCCAACTGCTACTGCTTCTTAAGCACAGCCCATCCGCTTTACCAAAGGTGAACTATGGGAAGGTATGGTTTTGCTGTAGTTTGTATCCATTGTAGCCTGGGTTACTGGCTTCTCTAGTATTCAGTCTAGAATATAAAACGAAACAAAGTCAGGGAGCTTACTGCTGTATCATTTCCTTGAATGCTGCAGTTCCTCTCAGATCTGCCTTTTTGTTTCCCACCTTTTAGAGGCTACTTACATCTGTTTCACATGTCCAGAGATTCTAGTAGAATTAGGAAAATGTGTCTACTTCATTTTGCCTAGAATCAGAAGTCTCTTGAATCTTTCTAAGGCCTATCATCCCCCCGTCTAAGGTGAGTGGTGTATGTACATACCAAGACCCGACATACTTGGCCCATCTCTCAAGTCTGGTCCCTTCCTGATGCCAATCATATGGTTGATCAGCGTAGTGACTTCCAGAATGTCCACAAAATACAGGTCTCCTCAGTCTATGTTTTGGCAAAGGGTGGAAGAATTCAAGTATCTTGGGGACAGGCCATGCGTATCACATCCCTTGGTAATGCACACTGCATCTGTTTCACATTCCAGATAGGTATGACAAAAAAGCAAAACAAACAAAAACAAAAAATAAAATTTGGGACCAGCAGTTCCAGTCCCAGACCTGGTGGCTTAAAATTCATGCCAGGAGGGACCAGCAGTTAGCATAATGGCTATGTCGCTGGACTCCCATGTAGTCAACCGCAGTTCGCATCTCAGACCCAGTGGTTTAAAACTCACAACGGGCGCGTGTGCGTGTGTGCCCAAGATCTTGAGAAGAGAATGGAGGAGAAGAGATTGTGGTGTGGCCCTTCCCCCATGGGGGGTGATTTCTCACTTTCTGTCTCACTGTCTCTGTCTGTCTGTCTGGCAAGCGCACGCGCCCTATAGCAAAAACTTCTAAAAAAAAAAAATACTCATGCCAGGCATGGGTGTATGTGTGTGTGTGTGTGTGTGTGTGTGTGTGTGTGTGTTTCCAAAAATCCAAAGAAGAGAACAGAGGAGAGGGGATTGGGACATGGCCGTCCATCCCCCCTCCCCCCCGGGTGGATGATTTCTTACTTTCTGTCTCTATCTCTGTCTCTCCAGTGAGTGCAGGCATCCCATACCAAAAATCTCTCTCAAAACAAAATTAATTAAAATAAAGTTTGCCAGATCAAGTGCTGGAGGTTTTTCTAAATCTGTTGTAACAAAGAAACTATATCGAGTGCAGTAACTGCAAATGGGGCTTCTGCTATCTGTTGTCACGTCCTTTCTGACTTTTGCAGGAGCCAGCATGGTGGTGGGACTATGACAGGGGCTTGTACAATACAGCCACTCCTCACTTAACAACCTGTTTAACAAGCACCCCCGTTTTCAATCAGTTCTCCAGCATGAGGAATCCCTTTGCTGAGTCTGTGTGAGTCTCTGGGATCCCCTTTCTCAATCTTTGACTTGTTCCCACAGTCAGTTAGCATTTACTTCCCAGAACATTCACAATCACACAAGACTACTTATTTCTTTTATAAATTTGCACTTCATTGTGCACTCATCATAGTATTCAGAATAAATAAAAACGATTACACCATTTTATTTCTTTTTCCCCACAAGGCACATGGGCTCGCTGGAGAGAGACAGACAGTGAGAGGGAAAGTGAGAAATCACTCCCACAGGGAGGATGGCCATGCTGTGATCCCTTCTCTTCCATTCTCTTGGGATTTGGGGCATGCACACACATGCGCTAAGTATGATTTTTCAAGCCGCCGGGTCTAGGATTTAAACTGTGGTCAGCCATGTGGAAATTCAGTGCCTTAACCACTATGCCACCTGCTGGCCCCAATTACATCAGATTTCTATTGTATTGTAATGTGTCCTGTCACTTTCTGGTGCTTAGCTAATGTTTGCTTTTTGTACAGATAAAAATCACATTACTCTAGTGGGTGTTTTGTGAAAAATACATCCCCTGTGATGCCATGACACACAAGACATCTGCCTTTAAGCTTCTCACTTATCAACCAATATCTTTAATGATCTGGTTTTAGGATCAGAGCTCAATTGTCAAATGAGTGCCCTTTTTTTTTTTTTTTTGGAGAGGTTTTCACTACAGGGCGTGTGCGCTCGTCAGACAGACAGAGAGAGACATAGAGACAGAAAGCGAGAAATCACCCCCCAGGGAGGATGGTCACGCCGCAATCCCTTCTCCTCCATTCTCCTCTCAGGATCTTGGGCACGCACGCACACGCGCCCGGCGTGAGTTTTAAGCCACCAGGACCAGGACGCGAACCGCAGTCGACTACATGGGAGTCCAGTGACATAGCCATTACGCTAACTGCTGGTTCCCTCAAATGAGTGCCTTTGAGTTTTATTAATTTCCTCCATGTCTTCATTATTTTCATTTACTCCTTTTGCTGGGATGGGGATCACTTTCAGAGGCTTCCACTTGTCCCTCCTCACTAAAATAGCTCTTACCTCTAAAGTCAAAGAATCAATGTAAGGGTTTTCAACCTACCAAGAGTGTCTCTTTTAATTATGTAATTGGGAATAGGGGAAAGGATCATCAGGTTGGTCTTCCTGGACCAGGGGTCACTGAGAGGCAGACTTTGGCTAGGACTCTAATAGCCCCCATATGCCCAACTTCAGTAGGGAGTCATGATGGCTTACTGAGTCTCCAAATCTTAGTGTCAGTTCATACCCATATTCTATAATTCTCAAAAGCACTGAGAGTTTTTCATTTCTCCAAAATACATATACTTGAAGAATTGGCCCTCAGTTCTCTGATTAAGGAGTAAGGAAATAACAAATGAATGATATGTCCTGGTACTGCAATATTCTCGCTCATCTTTTGGCCAATAGGTTCCAGATCTGATCTGGAAACTGGACAAGGGATTATGATTTTTACTGAGATTCTGCCTCTGAACATCCATCATCAATTAATTTTGACTGCATAAATTAAACAATAGCCTTGTTGGAAGCCCATCTATCTTGCCTTTTAACTCTCTCCATGTTGAAAACCCCTCCCCACCAGGACCCCGCTAGATGTCCTCTAAGTCCTACCACTCTTTGCAACAATCATGTGACTTCCAAAAGCTAAGCATTACAACCTGGTTAATATTATCTTGAAATCTTGCTATTTTTGTGTTCATCAGGGAGCCTAGTCTCTTTATTTTTATTTCTTTAATTTTTAGAGAGAGATTTTTGCTATAGGGTGTATGCACTCATCAGAGAGACTGAATGAGACAGAGAGAAAGAAAGTGAGAACTCACCCTACAGGGCGGATGGCCATACCACAATCCCTTCTCTTCCATTCTCCTCTCGGAATTTTGGGCACGTACGTGCATGTGCCCAGTGCCCAGTATGAGGTTAAAAGCTGATGGGTCTGGGACTCAAATTGTAGTCAACTATGTGGGAACCCAGCAATGTAACCATTACACCATCTGCTGGTCCCAGGGAGCCTAGTTTTTTTTTTTTGAGAAGTTTTTGCTATAGGGCACGTGCGCTCGCCAGACAGACAGAGAGAGACAGAGAGATAGAAAGCAGGAAATCACCCCCCAGGGGGGATGGCCACGCCGCAATCCCTTCTCCTCCATTCTCCTCTCGGGATCTTGGGCATGCACGCACACGCGCCCAGTGTGAGTTTAAGCCACCGGGTCCGGGACTCGAACCGCGGTCGACTACGTGGGAGTCCAGCGACATAGCCATTACACTAACTGCTGGTCCCAGGGAGCCTAGTTTTATAACAGCATCTCTTCCTAGTTAGCCCTGCTCTGCAGATGACAGGCATTACTCAGCTTCTTCTTTTTTTTTCTTATTAGAGGTTTTCGCTATAGGGTGCGTGCGCTCGCCAGAAAGACAGAGAGAGACAGAGAGATAGGAAGCGAGAAATCACCTCCCCACCCCAGTAGGGATGGCCACACCGCAATCCCTTCTCCTCCATTCTCCTCTTGGGAACCCCGGACATGCATGCACATGCACCCGGCGTGAGTTTAAGCCATTGGGTCCAGGACTCAAACCGCAGTCGACTACATGGGAGTCCAGCGACATAGCCGTTACACTAACTGCT